CTTTATGGCCCTGCCACACTATAACGTTTTAGACGACTTATGTCAATTTATGAAAAAATTAGAGAAATCTACAATAAAGATGAAATTTTAAAAATCAACAGGAAGCCCCTTTTGTGTACTGTAATGCTAACAAATTGGTCAAATATATAACTTTTATTAGTAATTTGTACATAAAAGATATTGATAAGTTGTCTTAAACATTATAGTGTGACAGGGCCTTAAAGAAACTACACAATCTACAAAACCAGCAACTGTTCAAACTTCTCCACAGAACTCTAACTTTAAATGAAGCAACATGATAAATCAAAATGTTACACTTCAGTCTTTTGAAAATACATTGGTCCTTACCTCAACRTTGCCACTGAAGAAGGCCATTGCTCTTTCCTTCCAGCTCGCCCACTCTCTCCTTTTCTGGGTTCCCTTCTGAGCAAGTTGCTAAAAATACGTGAAAACACAAAACACACTTTTCTACGGGCGCCACTTTACGAGACAGTACAGTGCGCCATAATAGCAGAATTAGGCATGAGGAGTAACTGTAATGCAATCTGCAGGCAATCGATACCGAGCCAGACCCTAAAGACATGTAGCATTTGATGGGTATTTCTGCCAGTTTTACATTCAGTCAGCACATTCGCCTTCTCCATTCAGACGCATTGATGCTGCTAAGTGACAGTGTGCTCCTGCCTTTGTGTGGCAGAACAGAGAAAGAAGAAAAATAGCTGTAATTTTTAAAATAGATGGGAAATCTCCGGTGGATAATGTACTTGCATTCGGAAGGTGGGTGTGGAAACAACATGGATAGATTCTATTAGAATACACTGATCCCAGCACAACCAAGTAGATTCTACTGATTATCCAGTTAGAAGATGAGTCAACTGTTGCAGTGACTCCCAAGTAACATTGAAACACTGTCTTACTTTTTCATATTGCATGTGCTTTCTATTCATGCAATTCGTGTCTTTTCAAATCAGATTACAGCTAAAAATACGGTGAATAGCACTTGTTTTTCTGTTACATATGCATTAATGTCTGATTCCTTGCTATCTAGATTTCCCAAGACAATGGAAACTCAACGGTTCCAATCCACTCCCATTTCTCTTCCGACTGGGAGAATACAAACACATAAACACTTCTATTTCTTTCAGCAAAGCATCTTAAAGCTAGTTTGCAAAATTCTTATTCCTCTGCTGGAAAATAATATGTCGTCATGCTCTATTTTTCTCTGAAAAGACCATAAAAGTGGTAAAGAACCAAGGAAATTCAGCTTCTGTCTGAGACAAATATGCATAATAATACACAACAAAGTTAAAAGGCAGAATAAAACAGTCTCTGCAGATAAATTAATTGTGTGAGAATATTGAATGTGGCACAGAAGAGAGTTGAAATCCGTGCACCGATTTTTAAACCGAGGATGAATGAGTAATCTAACCTCTGAAATACCTTGAATCCATGTTAAATAAAGAGGAATTTCACGGCTGAGATTTATACCATCTTCCATGTAAATCACTGCAATTTTTTAGAGCTTATAGAAATGTGAAATAAAAGAAAGAACAAAAGTATGTCACCCAAACGTACATGTGAACAGACAAAAACAGACAAACGTACACACGCACACACTCCGTGTCCATTAGCCACAGAGCTGATACACAACGTAATGGACATGGCTGATGTGCTGGTGAATATGGGATGATGACACAGATATTCCTCTTTGTAGCCCTGACCTGCTGCAGTGAAAGGCTGCCAAGCGTGATCATGTCAGGCCGCACGCGCTCCCTCAGCTGCTGGGTGTAGCAGGGGATCACTTCCTCAGCTGTTCTCGCTGCAAGAAATAGCTCATGGCAGCAAAAACCTTGTAACATTTAACTAAACTGGAGTGTTGTTGCAGCATTGTGAGTTGACTATTTGGTCATTCTTTTGTAAAAAAAAAATATGGTGTTAAATTATCTTTTATAAACAACAACAAAAAATTAAAAGCACTAATACTGCTATCATCCAACAAACAATGATTTTATCACATGCGCACTCAATTTAAATTGAAAACCTGGACTAACACAATGCACTGCAAAAACTGTCCACCTGACCAAGTTTTAAAATCTTATATCCAGCCAAAAAGTATTTTTTGATCTTGTTTTGAGACTGATTTACTAAACAAGAACTGATTGTGTAAGAATAAT